ATTTAGGTTGCTGAGAATTCACTTCTAAGCAGTTGTAGGACTGACATCTCTGCTTTGTGTTGGCTATTATCTGGAGGCTTCTCTCTAGCCCTTGTATATGGGCTCCTGAATCAGAGCTGCAACTGCAGAGCAAATCCTTCTCATACTTGGAATCGTGGACATCCCTTCTGCCACATTTTTCTTCTGCCTCTTCAGCTTTCCTCTTCTCTAACCAGCCAGAGAACATTCTCTGCTTTTAAGGACTTATGAAATTAGATTGGCTCTACACAAATAATTCAAGATAACCTCCCTATCTAAAGGTCTGTAACCACATTACCTCTGCAAGGTCCCTTCTCAGCAGGGCCTAGATTTGATTGAATAAGCAGAGGATGGGTCTCTTGGAGGAACATCTTCGGAATTCTGCCTACCATAATTTTTCTACATGGGAAACATGTTTGTTCACCTTAACATCCAGTGGGATGAAGCAAAGTAAGAAAAGAGACTGAAGAGAAATATTTGGCTCTAGGAAGGAATTTGTATTTTATTTTCACTTCAACAGCAATCTGTTGGAAGATTTTTACATGGGGAAGTATTGCCAACTTATACTTTAAAAGTTATCAGTATGCTGAGAGAGAAAAGCTTTCTTAGCAAATGTCTTTCATACTGCTCAGCCATTGAGAGAGAGAGATGTGTTAACTGTGGTGTGAGCACGACCCCCTCTATGTCTTGGCATAAGCCTGCGTGTCTCAGTGGCAAGTATATAGAGAAACTGTGGGAAAACGGGGTCTACCCTTAGAAAAATGTGGAAGTAGGTAAAAAGTTATGAAGTGAGACAGAAGTTAGTTACATTAAGTTCCACTGCTTCATCAAATACTTGTGCTTCTGCCTAACGTGGCAATCAGAAGTAGCTGCCACCCTGACTCACTTCTCAGGCTGCAGGGCCCACAAAAGCCAGGTGACTATAAATGACTCCCAGATTTAGGGACATCCACTTCCCAGTGGCTTGTGGGCCTGCACTCTGCAAGACTTGTCTTGGCAATCCGTTCAGATACCAGACCACTGGCCCACAGCTATTTTGCTGCCTAAGCTAGGGATACAGCCCAGGCACTGCAGAGATAACCAATCTCAGCTGGCGTGTTCACAGCCATTATTTAGCTCAGGGATTCCAACAACCTTATACCATTTGCTCTGTAACCTCCAGAAACATGTCACATTTGAAATGGTATCTTTCTCTCTTTTCCAACATCACATTGGATTTTAGTGTATATTTTTTCATTTCAATGAATATTTTGCACCTACAGGCAGGAAAGGTAAATTTGTGGCTTAGGCCACTATTTTAAATGGAAAGTTTGATACCATACCTTTTCTTATTAAGCTAATATATTCTTCCGGGGGGAAAAAAAAGCTGGGGGGCAGTTTTTTTTTCTTAGAAGCCTTTTAAGGGAAAGTTGAGCTGCATGCATTTCTTGGATACAAAGGTAAGGTGCAACTCTGACACTAAAGCATGGGACTACCAAGTGGTTGTGTCTCTCTCTGGGACAGCATGGCTTCGTCACACATGGGGATGAGAACCAGGGCCTGACAGTCCAGGACAGTGGGTGAAGACAAGCAAAGGAGGAGACAAGGAGTAAAGAAGGAAACAAGGCTCTGCTGGACTCTGACTGCACAGGTTGTAGTGTTTTGAGTGCTTGCCCTGGTCATATCCGAGAAATCTGGGACTTGCCTATATTTTCCCTGTCATCTCTACATTTCTGAGCAGAAATGGATAAAGAGAGGTCTAACAGCTAGGCTTCACAGGCCATCGCAGGCCCTGTTGGTCAGCAGGCACACTGCTGCTTCTTGAGATGCCTGAGCACAGCTGTCACAAAACATCCATGACCCAAGTGTCCTTAACCACATGCTGCCTTTATAAAATGCCACCTTGTGTGGACTTCCTAATTTTCCTTTTTCCCTTTTATTAAGTGATTTATTATATATTAAGTGGTCCATTATGCTGACTTAACTCCTTAATAAAGCCCTCTCTTCATGTTTTCCCATTTTTTTTGTAATGAGCCAAACTAGTAATACTTAAAAGTTGGCCTATATGTCTAGACTTTGTCTTGTACCTCTCAGTACCCAGCACCTGATACTCTGCAAGCGAATCTCAAATTCATAAATTTTTGGTAAGTGATAACAGAAATCTGGATGTGTCAATTAAGGATTGTCCAGTACCATTCCCTCACTTTTATCACTTAAAAAAAAACAGATCTTAGGGAGTTCATGCAGACTGTCTAAGGTTAGAACCACTGGCAGTTTTCTAATGCCCATTTTAATGCTCTTTCCATTATAAAATGTGTTGTAAAAGTATTTTTTTAAGGGCAAGAGTTAAAAGTGGTGACTACATCTCATTTTTTGTCCCAAGACTCCCTCCACTCACCCAGGCTGCTGGGGCAAACCTTCAGGATGGCCCCACCTGCTTATTAAACTGTTTCAAATGTGCTTCAGGGGAATGGGGAGGGAAGAAAAGAAAAGAAGAAAAAAAATGTGCTCCAGATGCTCCCTCAATACCAACTCCTGAACTGAGGTCAGGAACTTGGAATATAAGAAGGAAGTTAAAAGGTGTTATCTTTATTTGACCTGGCCTTTTGCCATGGACTTAGATAGAATCTTTTCTCTTAATCAGATCCCTAAAGGTGGGTTGTAAGTGTCCCTTAAAAAAAAAAAACTGGAGAGTAACAATGGAGACCAATAAATAACATATAAGCATGAATAAAGAAAAATAATAATCTGGGACAGACCTATTAAAAAGTTCTAACGTGTAGAAAAAGAGAAACATAACTACGAGATGTTTCTTTGGAATTAGAATTTTTCCACAAAACTAAAGATAGATGGCATATGATCTCTAATAATATGATACAAATCCCACTAACACTAAGCAGAATGAGCTAGGACAATCACACGAAAAAGTTGAAAAGATCCTTCACAGCAACAAGAGCAAAATCAAGGCAGATTCAGAGAAGATGCACAATCATAAAACATGAACCCGTCCTTTTAAATCTGTATTCTACATTTAATCCTCACTCTCTGACAAGAGAAATACAAACTACTCTCACTTTAAAACTGAAACTGAATAATTAAGTAACCAATAGTCACCAGTAAATGACAGCCAGAATTCAAAAGGTCTATTTGGCTCCACAGCCCGTGATCTTTATGACTCTATCAAGACCAGCTGTCAATATTAAAAGCAGACTTGATATTTTAGAATTGAGAAAATGAGTTAAAATATCAGAAAGATTAGAAATTTACCATAGAATGAATACATATCAAAAGGATCATAAATTATTAGATGTCAAAAATATTTAAGAAGGCCTGAAATTATAAATTAGAATAAGTCACCATACTCATCCATACTCCTGTCAAAACTGTTAGCATCAATACCACAACCAAGTGAAATGTTTGGTAAACATGTATTTCTACTAAGGAAATATAATATTTAAAGACATTAAATATCCGACTAACATTCATGTTTCTGACACAATGGCTAAAGACACTGCAGTGCCACACTTGAGAGAACTGAATCCAAGATTATATTCAATCAAGACAATCATATCTGGTGAGAATAAGAAATCTTAAAAGTTTTAGTAAGCTTCCTGCCCAACTACTTCAGGAAGACTCAAAATCACAGTGCTGAGACGAAGAACGCTTTTCTGTGGTATAACACAGAAAGAGTTGACTCCCTAACTCAAAGTTTCTTTCCAGCTTTAAAATATCCTGACTATTCCTTTCAGGTTTAGATTCTTATTTAACAGAGTAGACTTTAATTCAAGAGGGTCCATTTCTTGAGCATGTGTAACATGGGCTCTGCCTAATCCAAGATGAGCTAAACCAACTAGACTTTCTCTCCTTCTCACAATTTCTAAACTCCATAGAAACAAGTGGCCCTGTGGTTGGTGATCAAGGATCTTAAAGTCAGAGATGGCAGAAGATATAACTGGAAAAAACTGACAATAAATATTAAGGGCGAATTACAGAGCTAAACAAAACATTAACACCTAGAGGGCAAATGGTGATAAATCTAAATAGCCACAGTAATTGTAAGACCCAAGAGGGCAGGAGTGATATGCAATTAAATAGCAAGAAAGAAAAACTAAAGAATTCCTTGACATCAATACCAAAGAACCCGAGGTTATAGTGCTGTTTATACAGACACAGAAAGGGACAGACAGTAATGAATATTGCGAAATGTTTTAAAATGTTACAAGATGTAACTAAGAACTAAAGACAAGAAGTTTAACATCCAAATTCAAATAAAAACACCAGGTGTGGTGGCTCACACCTGCAATCCCAGCACTTCAGGGGGCTGAGGTAGGTAGATCAAGTTTGAGGCCAGGAGTTCGAGACCAGCCTAAGCAACATAGCAAAACCCCATCTCTACTAAAAATACAAAAATTAGCCAGGTGTGGTGGTGTACAGCTGTGGTCTCAGCTACACAGGAGGCTGAGGCACAAGAATCACTGGAACCCAGAAGGCAAAGGTTGCAGTGAGCCAAGATCACATCACTACACTGGAGCCTAGACAACACAGCAAGACTCTGTCTCAAAAACAAAACGAAACATAAAACAAATTCTAATGAAAGACAACCACACATTACAAAGGGAACAACTAAAAACTGCAGTAACAATCCTTTAACATAAAAACAGAACACAAACCAAGAAAAAATTTAAACTATACATATACACAAACTGTCTAAATTCAGCAACTAAAAGTGTTTTGATTGGACATTTCAAGTTGCACTATTCACAAAAGAAAATATTCAAACTTAAATGTAACCTCCATGAGACCAAGGATATTTGTCTGTGTCGTTCATTGCTCTACCTTCAGTAACTTCAGTTTTTTGAATAAATGCAAAAAGAATGCTAATAAATACCAAAATTGCCTACTGCCCAATGCTGCCACAGTGTAGTCCCCCGATTCAGTGCAGATGGAGTTTTACAGGAACTACTTTTTAAGAGAACAATTTAGAATGCAAGCCAAAAGCTTTCAAAAGTGCATATTCTTTAATCCAAGAATTACTCAATAAATTTATACATATTTTTTAAAAAGATCACCAAATGGCATCCCGCATAGTTCCTTTACAATAAACAAAAGATGAACAACCTAACGTTCTGCCCGATATGTCCTCTACCAGATGACTCAATTATAGTCCATCCATGGAATGCTGGGCAATCATAGCAGGACATTTATGTTAACATGGAAAGTGAAGATACGCTTTAGAGAGCAGGCTACAAAAGAGAATACATTACACAATCCAACTGCTGTATAAAACAAAACCTCTGGAAGAATCTATGCTTAAATATTAAGAGTGTGTCCCACAAAGTGGTAGGATAACAGTGATTTTTATTCTCTACTTATCTCTATTTTCTCATGTTTCTGTAATGCACATTTCATAAAACACAATGGGTCTGGTATAAAAATCTGAAACACTTATTTTTGATAGAACGCAGTATTACAGGCTGTAGTGTCAAATAAAACATTAATGTTAGATATCACACACTTCCCTGAAAATAACCCACACTCTTAATTACCCTTTCAGTTCTATGAATATATCTGTAATACTAGATCATACCTTACTATTTCTGAAAATGTTAGTCCTGATAAAAATTAAAAACCATAGAGGTAACAAATTGGCAGAATAAAGTAAAAACTGCCACTTTAGCTTTTAGTGAGATCTTAAATCTGCTGAAATAACACTAAGCAATGCTCTGTTCCAAATGTAAACCATTATACTAGCCAACATTAAGAATTACGTGGCCATTGGGAGGAACACTCTTCAATAAAAGACGGGTATTAATCAGATATAACTTTATATGTAATCTTCAACTAAAAAATTAATTTGAGCTCACTTTGCATGTTATATAACTTCAAAAGAAAGAATTCTTGGAAACAAAAGTTCATTCTCACTTTGTTTAGATAGGCTTACACATCAGGTAATAAATGCAAAGCAAAACTTACATTAACATACACTGTCAATTAGTTGTAAAATCTGAACTATTATTTGAAGTACAGAATTCAGAGTATTTTCAAAAAAAAAAAAAAAAATTAACATATCCCCTTCTTTCTATACTAAAAAATAAAAAAAGACTGCACTACAGAGATGCCCTCTTTTAATTCCAAGTATCCTATTTACTTTCCACAACCAAAAGTTTTGTTCCAGTTTTCATAAAGCTCTAAATCTTTTGGAGAAACACTAGGTCGCACAGTTCTAAACGCATTTTCAAAATCAATATAAGCTGTTGGCCGAACTTGATCTGGTGTTATGGTAGCAAGGTCAGCAGTTTGTAAACTGCGAATAGGACCAAGAGAAGCCTCTCTGCAAAGCTGTGTCATGTCTGCTCCTGAAAACCCATCAGAGAGCTGTACAATCTGTTCAATTTCTTCTTCACTGAGGCAACAATGCTCTCTGGACATTAGATTAATTACTATCTGTTTCCTGGCTGAAGCTTCTGGGAGGGGAATATAAAGCCTTTTCACCAATCTTCTTCGGGCAGCCTCATCAATTTCTTGTGGCCGATTTGTTGCTCCCACCACTAGGATACGATCTTCAGAAGATGTTGTTGCTCCATCTAATTGAACTAAAAATTCTGTTTTTATCCTTCTAGAAGATTCATGCTCACCATCTCCCCGTTGAGATAACAGGGAATCAATTTCATCAATAAATATCACAGCTGGTTGCTGACACCTTGCTACAGCAAACAATGCACGGACCATTTTCTCCCCCTCGCCTACCCATTTAGAAGTTAAGGATGAAGCAGAGATGCTAAAGAATGTTGCCCCAGACTGACTAGCAATGCACTTGCCAATTAGAGTTTTACCAGTCCCAGGAGGACCAAAGAGCAAAATTCCTTTAGGGGGTCCCCTTAAACCAGTAAAGATGTCCGGCCTCAACATGGGCCACACAACTATTTCCTTTATGGTGGCTTTAGCAAACTCTACCCCTGCAATATCTTCCCAATTTACTGGAGGTCCATGATCCATAATCTCATTCATAATAAGTTCAATCATCTTTGGCTCCAAGTTCTTCAGACGCTCATCAACTGGATGTGCTGGTTCTGTAGGTCCTGCCCCATAAGGCTTATACTGCATTCCTCCATTCTGCTCTCCCCCATCTTGCTTGGGTATAGGAGGAACAAACTTTCCAAGTATTCCTCGGGATCTACTAGCTCCTAGAGATTTTTTTACACCACCATATGAAGACCCTGATGCACGCTGAGGTTGATGGTACTTTTTTTGCTGATCTACCCATAACTGTTCTTTTGCAGTTTTAAAAGTAGGCAGGCTGCTATCCTCCTTTGGGCCATTATCTTCTGTTTTACTATAAGCCTTATTCAATACTGGATTGGAAAGTGCATCAGTGGTACTAGAACCATAAAAAGACTTTCTTTGCAGATTTTCAGAGGCAGCAGGAAAACAAGACTGATTAGATAAGAACATATTAAGTCTTATGTTTTCTTCTGGAAAGCTGGGATTTTCCTTTCTGACATTTCCAAACAATGGCGTGACATGGAATTTTGCAGTGGCTGACTCATCTACCGGTGCTGAGAATGTAGAACAAGTCTTAGCAGTGTTAGTCACCACAGGTGGCTGGGCACTCTGAAGGAGTTTCAAAGGATTGCTCTCTGGGAAGTCTTGGGTCCTATCTTGATCATGAGCTGAGTTAGGTAGTTGGTCATTCTCTTGAGAATTACCACAAAAACTAAATTTAGGAAGATCAAAGACAGTGGCCTCCTTATGGATTACCACTGATGCATGAGCAGGTTCCAACAGAGAGTCTCTGAATTTTTTGCCAGCTTGCATCATCTTCTGTACACTACTCATTTTGAAAACATTATTTATTGACAATCCAGATTGCCACTTGTCACTATCTGTTTGTTGAGACCCTGCCAAAGTCAAAATGTTTTCTGCATAATTATTCAAGCCAGATTCAACATTGTCAGAATCAATAATTGCAGAATATTTCTCTGCATATTTTTTGAACAGTTTGGTAGCACAGACCTGGGAGATTTCAGAGTTTGCCCATGCATACTGAATGCGTAATATCTGTGCACGGTATGCATCTGCCTTCTGTCCTGCACATATGCCAGATGTAATTGCAAAGTAATTTTTCTGCCATTCACTCAGGTGCACAGATCTAGAGCTGGAGGTCTGCATTTTAGAGGTTCTATAACAAACAACAAAAATGAAAATAAATCAGTATGAAGAAAACAGATATAGTACTTTAAACATAGTTTTAAAATCTCTGCTAATCTGAAGGAAGGTACACTGGACTTTTTATTTTATAAGGTAGATTTATAAGTACAGGTTATAAGAGAAATATCTAGCTAATTTTACCAGTGAATAGGGAAAGCATTCATAAGGTTTAGATGAAAAGGATTTAAAATCGATCAGAAAAAGAAAAGCAATATTGAAGAACAATGGAACTATAGACACATAAAGCAAAACAAAACAAACAAGAGGTTTAACTCTGATCTGCACAAGAAACTAGGTGAATGAGCTTAAGTGAGCCTTTTACTATCACTGAAGGGTCTTCAGTTTTCTTTTTTATTGTTGTTGAGACAGAGTCTCACTCTGTCACCCAGGCTAGAGGGAAGTTGTGCTATCTTGGCTCACTGCAACATCTACCTCCGGGTTCAAGTGATTCTCCTGCCCCAGCCTCCCAAGTAGCTGAGATTAAAGGCACCCACCACCACACCCAGCTAAATTTTGTATTTTCAGTAGAGACAGGGTTTTACCATGTTGGTCAGGCTGGTCTCAAACTCCTGACCTCAGGTAATCCACCCACCTTGGCCTCCCAAAGTGTTAGGATTAGGGGCATGAGCCACTGCACCCAGCTGGTTATTTAGTTTTCTTATCTGCAAAGTGAGAGGAACCACTGGGAGAATCATATCGAGTAATGAATATGAAAATAATCTGAAAACTATCTTTATTCCTATCACCCAAATGTAGAAACTGAGGCTGAGAGAGTTAAAGAACTTACTTGAGATCACACAGCCAGTTACGAATGGTACCAGAAATCGAACACAAGCAGTTTCAATCCAGGTACTGTGCACTTCTTCATGTACACAATGCTCCTTGATGCTGCTACCCCAGGTCACAGATTGAACAGCCTGGATCACAAATTTGAACTACAGCATGTTTAAATGGCTTTAATAACTTATTCATGAATAAGCACGCAAAACAAAATGCCCTAGAATATCTCTCAGTTTCCTAATTTCACATAAGTATTAAAAAGTGAAACTGTTACAATAAATAAGAGAACAAGCTAACCTACTAAATGATTTTACTTTAGATTACTTGTCACGTTATTAGCATAGCCTTCTTCACACTGTTACATTTAAACAGACTGCTGCTGTATCACATTGCTAACTATACTGAATTTACTTACATATCCACAAGAAAACTGTATTAAAACTTTTCTTAGTTTCCTAACAGCATTTCAATTAAGTGAAAACTAAGAAACTCTACTTTATAGGCTCAAGTATTTGGAATTTTGCCTTCCAAATTACTTGTAAGTACAACTTAAAATCGGTTCTTTTCGTGCAACAGCCATGTTTAATACAGCATTTATCTCCCATGCCTTACAAATCATTTGTCACATTGTAAGTAGGTGTTCATAAATCTTTGTTTAAAAACTTAAGATCCAGAGCTTTAAATTAAAGACACCGTAATTTATTTAAAGCTGTCAAGCCAGATAAGCTAGAGTCAAAACTAGATCTGACCTCCCCTGTCAAGCAGTTCATCCCTCTTTTCAGTATACCATTTCGACTTTTAAACTCATTTATACAATACTGGAAATGAGAAACTGAAAGGTAACTCGGAAAACACTTGACACAAACTTTCACAATTGGTATCATCATTCTCTTCCTCTCCATGGCTTCATTCCACTTTATCATCTGTTACCCTGGGATTTCCAAAATACCTCAGAGTTCTAGTCAGTTTTCAGAATAAACCCCCTTCTCCTTTCCACCTTCACCTTTTCCTTCCATATTCATCTTCCAAGTCTTACTTCTTTTCAATTCAATCATTTACATAGTAAATATGGATAACCAAAAACTGGCCATCACTGATCAGTGACACAACCATTGTCTTGCTTATCATTTTCAAGTCAATTTAACCTTAAGGGCTTTTTCTAGATCTAAAAAGTACGATTAATTAGCACTGTCATATGAACTGCATTTCAATCTTCTTTATTTTGCCAATGTTCTGATTATTTTAATAATGTGATTATTTCTCTTCCTAGATAATTGGCTTCTGCAGGTAGGAACTGTTTTCCATTACATTTACACTGTCTTAGGACCTAGAATACAGTGTCCTGTAGAATAATGGCTACTAAAATACTGACAAGAGTGCCTACTCAGTACCAAGCACCGTACAGGCCTTTCACAGGACTCGATTCGTGATGCAAAACAGGAGTTAAGAGCACAGGGTCTGGAGCCAGGCTGCCTGCGTTCAGATCCTGGCTCTATCATCTGCCAGCAGTGACTGTAGGAAAATCTCTTAATGTCTTTCTGCCGGTTTTCACCTATAAAAGAAGCGCAGCAATATCACAGAGCTGACAAGGCCTTTTAATTCTGCAAAGCACTCGACACAGGTCTTAGCACCTAGAAAACACTCTATAAAATACTGCTGCTTCTGCCTCACAATGACCCCTCAAAGGTATGAGCCCTTCTTTCTCATCACAGAGCTTAACAGCTTGCGCTGGGCACAGGAGAGCTGACTGACCTCCGCTGTGGGAGCCCAGAACCCCGCCGGCCCCGGTAAATGCCGGCAACAAGCAGCCCCGCCCCCGGACAGGCCCTGCCAAAGGATGCCGCCGTCCACGCCGGAACCCTCCTTCCTAATCATGGGTGAGTCTGGTTCTGGGCTGGCGGGTAAGCCACCTTCCCCTAAGACAGAAGCAAATGAGAAGGGCGCTGAGGTCACAGCCACTGTCTGACTCCCGAAGCCCACGGCCTCCCACGAAGCCCCCGCCGCGCGACCCCTCAACATTCCAGAGCCATCCGCCCGCCTCGCCCCCGCGCCCAACCCTGATGCTCCACAAGGGTCAGCAAGGCCCCTGCCCCACCTCCCGTCACCGCGTCCTACCTGCGACCGTTCGCGGACACCATCAGCTTCCGAAAAGCGCGGGGACCGACGTGCGCCTGCGCGTTGCTGACGCTATCGGGCTCGCGCCGGGCGTGCGTGCGTGCGTGCGTGCGTGCGGCGCGCGGGGCGTGGGCGCGGTATCTGGGCCGGCGCACCACTATCTGGGCCCAGAGCTGTTATGTACAATAAACGCTTATTACAGATGCTCCGCTGAAGGAGCCCTGTCCGCAGTCCGGCAGCGGTGGTGTACGTAAAGTAGTAAATTGTTTGCGTTCCATTGTGCATAGGCTTCATTTTTAAAAGTCCTTTCAAATAAATACAAGGAGGCGATGGAAATTGAATGAAGATTCCAAGGATTCCCATAGAGCGCGGCTCACCTGTGCTCAACCGGAGAGTGAGCCGCGGCTCACCTGGGAGAGCAAAGCGTGGCTCTTCTGCATCCACCCAGGAGAGTGAAGCATAGTTCACCTGCGCCCACCCGGGATAGCCAGCCGCGCGCCTTCTGCAGGCAGGGAGCGGGCGGCGGGAGAGGAGCGGATCTGCTTAGATCATTACTCCAAGCCACCCCAGCCTGACGAGGCCTGAGGCTGTGCCCCTCTTGAATTCAGGCCCAGCATGTCTCACCTCCCACCCTGGCACCCTGCAGTTTGCATTCCACACAGCACGTGAGCGGGTGCTCAGCAGTTTTCCTTGGCTGAAAGAACCACACAGAGTAGCATGCAAAAATGACCTGCATGTTTAAGATAAAATAAGAGAGGACACCTGTTCTCTGAATCCGGCAGCTCAGACCTCCCCTCAGCCAACACCTACACCACAGCTCTCTGCTGTGTAGGGACACCTCCCTGAAATTTTGAAAAGCATTCCATCATTACCTTCCACTTTGTTCTGGAGCCAGGTTTCAAAAGAACAGTGCTGGATTTTAACTTAGTGAATTGGGTTTTCAGACACAAGTCAACAGGGCAACCACTCACAGTGGCCTCTGCAGTAAATAATGATCTCAGATCACAGAACAAGAAGTCTGGAGGTTAGTGGGAAATGTGGGCCTGGTGATTCAGTCATGAAAGACCATCTCTCCATTCAGTCACCTTCTCGCCTATGGATTTTCCTACCCAGGCTTGTCACCTCATTGTCGAGAGATGCCCTCACAGTCAAGCTAGGCAGCCTCACACAACCCAATTCAAAACAGAAAGATGGAGCCAAACTGAGAAAGGGCCTTTTCCCTCTGAACACTTCTGTCTGGAAAAAGAAAATGTTTCCCAGAAAGCCTCCTAACCTTCTTCTTGTATCTCCTTGACTAGCTGGGTCCCCTGGATATCCTTTCCTGAGAAAGAGAGGGTCTGGTGCAGGGGATAGAGAAAATGACTAGCAACTAGCAGCACATGTTGTTTAAACACAAGATTTAAAGAAACGCAAGGCACAATTTCAAGATCTTTTTAAGGTTTTTGAAGTCTTCACAAAATAAAAAGGAATTGGACAATGCACTTTAAAAAATAGAAGAGGTTGCACTGAAAACAGCTCCTCATTCATTCCATGGCTTAGATAATCATAGAAGATGCTTTTATTCTAATTCCATAATGTATCAACAATTTTTTAATGATTTTACAATTACCCAAAGTATGTCATGTAGAATGAAAATGAAATGAAAACAGTTATATCAAGATCAAGTCAGTTGCATGCTCACTGGCTCTTTAGAAATTTCCAAATATATGTGTATTTAGAAATGACCATATAGATACTATTTCGGTAATGTTAGAGATGGAAAGTTTATGTCCCCCCAAAATTTGTATGCTGCAATCCTAAGCCCAATGTGATGATTTTAAGGGGTGGGGCCTTTGTGAGGTGATTAGGTCATGAGAGTTGAGTCCTCATGGATAAGATTGGCAAGTACCCTTGTAAAGAGACTCCAGAGGCCGGGCATGGTGGCTCACACCTGTAATACCAGCACTTTGGGAGGCTGAGGCAGGCAGGCAGATCACCTGAAGTTAGAAGTTCAAGACCAGCCTGGCCAACATGGCAAAACCCTGTCTCTACTAAAAATACTTAAATTAACCAGGTGTGGTGGCGGGCACACCTGGTTGCAGTGAGATGAGATTGTACCACTGCACTCCAGCCTGGGGGATAGAGCAAGACCGTCTCCAAAAAAATAAAAAATAAAGTAAAATAATAAAATAGGACCCAAAGAACTTATCAGCCCTCTTTCCATCACCTAAGGATGCAAAGAAAGGATGGCAACCTGGAAAAGAGCTCTCACCAGAATTCAACCGTGCTGGCACTCTGACTTCCAGCCTCCAGGACAGTGAGAAATAAATTTATGTTGCGTATGAGCCACTCAGCATATGGTACTTTGTTATAGCAGCTCTGCACAGGCTAAGACAGGTAATTAGCTATGTTTGATGATTTTCATCATCAAAATTTTCATGATGGCATTTTGGAGAATTCACATAAACCACTCCTTTACTCTCCTAAAAATATTGCTCAAATACTGAATTACATTTGTGCTTGCCAAAGTTAACTTTTTTCCAAAAAGTAACACTAGCCACTTCACGTTGTACTTTTGGTACAAAAGCATTTCCCAATCCAGTGGTTTTCATCTTCTGGCCTAGTTGGCAAAAGTGTAACTCACTTCTGCACTCTCCCGGAACCGTAGTCTCCCCATCAGGTGTAAAACGGAAATAAACCTTTCTTACCCATGAAGCCATTATAAGGATTATAATAGATATAAGATATAATTCTTAAATTATCAAAGCAGCCATTCAACAGAAACCTTGTTGCTATGTTACTTTTGTTGTTACCGTTAATACTCTTACTGGGATTCAACCCCTTATGCCATATCAAGACCTTTCCATCTTTAACAAATGGACATATATTAGGATAGTATCACAATACATTAGCATAATGTGGAAGAGTTTAGTGCTTAAGCTATTCAATTATTAAACTTTGCTTCCAAGACCACAGACTGGTGGTATATACTGTGTGTGTGTGTGTGTGTGTGTGTGTGTGTGCGCGTGCGCACACACGCGCACCTATGAGAAAGAATATGCTGTTCTTTCTTCTTCTGGGTAGAATTTGTTGAGCCTTCAAGGGAAGAGGTTTTCACTTACAGTAAACAGTGCCAGTTCTCTTGATAGAAGGGATTCTGGGAGATGGCTGCTCATTTCCATATCACGAATTCTATAAACATTGTCTCAGATAAATGCCAGTGTACACTTCAGCGAACTCATTTGTTTTTGAGCAGAGGGGATAATATGGCCCTAAATAATGTACCTCCCTGTCAGCCAGGAGAGTTACATTCTGGAGATGTGTGTATCGGTGGGTGTGGGAGGCAGTTGGGGTTGAGGAAATAGGAAAGCCAACAGGACAAAGCTTAAAGGGAAAACAGCCCAATCTAAATCCAGTTCTTTCTCTGTGGGATTCCCTGTATGTGGAGTCCCACTGACTTCCAAACCTCTCAGCTCCCTGTCTCAATGGTAAGGAGGAAAAAAGAACCAGGATTGAAGGGATGGTGTTCCAGCCCACCAACAAAGGCGTAAGATGTGTGGGCCACGGTGAACCAAGCGCACAATTTTAGTAAAAGCTATTCATTGGCTACACTGAATGAATCATAAAGGAATGTGAAGAGGCTACCTCTGGCCTTGCTGTCATAAACAGAGCTGATGAGGGGGAGGTGGTGTTCTCCCTGTGTCAAAAGACAAAATTACGACAAATTTACAGATCAAAATGGCTTTTATTCATGATTCATGAATCCAGTAGCCTCCATTTTATAGATGGTTAATACAGAAAGTCCTTTTTCTTGTTCCTAGGGCTGGGGGAAGCACTTTTTGGATCTGAGAACCAATTTATGGAGAAGTCAGGAGGTGGGGTAAACTGCCATGAGTTATCTAGAAATGAGCAAGAAATCAGACAAGCTTTTGTCTCTGTTGTGTCTCTGTCTAAGCTGAGGTCTTAGACTCTCCATCAAAGGATCCAGCCAGCTCAGAGGGAGGAAATCTTCAGTGACTTGCTGGCTTCCTACCCTGCTTCTGTACAGCATCCCCGTTGCCCCTGCCATCCAGTCTCCTCCCTCCAATCAGGTCTCAGCCATCTTTCCAAAGCATATTTGTGGATGGGGCTGGATGAGCCCACAAAAGCAGAGAGCTGGTATCAGTGATGTTAGTGGCTCCCATTGGAGCCCTTGCAGCAATCTTAAGGGCTGAAAAAGAAGCTTATAAAATTTAGACATCCCAGCCTTAACTCAAGAAACTGAGTGCTCCATGCCCCACCAGTTCTAACAAGGGTGGCCCCTGGTGGGCCCTGACAACACAGCCTTGGTCCCCACATCAGGGTGGAGGTGAGGTCTTGTTTGTGTTGGGTAGAGAACAAATGACCTGACCAAATTAGATGGGGAACTACTTGGCATCTGACATATTTCCAGATCTCTGAACAGCAGATCATATCACTCGCTTATGTTCACATAGATATCGGAGGTCTTTGAAATTCAAATATGCTTATTAATAACCCAAGGACCCCTTCTGAGGGTGCCTTTGATAGTCTTACAGTCTTCAAAGGACAGGAAGTAATCTTGGGATTAAAACACATGTTTCTAAAAGCAAAATGGCTCCCAATACACACAGCAAACTTAAAGTGAGATTGAGCAGATACCACATCCTTGTTGCAATTCATTTATTTACAGAAGCACTCCTCAGTTCCTTATCAATCATGATACTATAAGACAGACTCGTCTGACCAGAAAATCAAGGCCCAGAAAGCCATAGAGTCCTTTCCATCACAGCAGACAACTCCATCTCATTGTTCCAGGTTGTCTCTTGGTTCTAAATTTTATTTCCACAGATGAAGTCATCTCCAAGTAAAACTTGTGTATTGTTAATGTATCCAGAACAGTGCCTGACATCAATGAGGCACTCAAAGAACATTTGTTTAATAAATGAATGCAGTTTAAATACATCCCGAGGATGCAGTATCTTTGTCTACTTCAGAGGGAATGTCTGTATCACAAGAATAAATTTGACACAACATAGAACAAGATGATCATCTGAAACAATTAGCATTTCACTTGAATTGTTTATTAAGCATTTAGCCACATGACAAAAGACAATTTAAAGACCACAGATATAATTTCAAGTTGCAAGAACATAGATTGCCTTGGAAAACATATCAGTGAGGCTTTCATGCCACTTCTGATGGCTGCAAGAACATGACAATCTATAATGTTTTAATCAACAAAAATCACAGCCAAATAATGAATAAAAGCTATAGCCTCTAAGATTGACTTTTTATATAGCAAATAATATGTCTTCATTGATGAGACACTAAGCAGACAAAATCACCAGCCTCTGGATGACTTTGGAGAAAGCCACAGGAAGCCACAGACAGACTCAGTTCCATGAAGCCAGGATGTTATTTATTTTCTTCTTCTTCTAGTTTTCAGATATATCTCTCTTAAACTTTGATTCCTACAGGGAAAAAAATAGCATGAACATATGACTACATTAAAACAAGTAAGAATAAGAATTGTATGTACCCTTATTTGAATATAAAGAAGGGATATATCACTTCTCCAATGAAACAGAGACAATTGTGCAGTGCTGGAGAGTCTGACCTTAAATCAAGGAATTTTTACTGCCAATCTGGCCTTCTCTGATGAAAACTGTATTCGTGTCAACTAGAATCTCTGCCTAATTTTCTACCCTCTGTAAAATAACAACAGTTCCTACCTTCTCTCAGAACTAGGACCACATGAATGTAAATAACCTCAAAGAATTACAAGTAAAATCAAGGTATTAAGATTTTTATTGTTCTAATTAATCTGTCCCAAACAACATACATGCATTAAAATGTACTACTGTATCATGTATTTTTTAAAAAATTAAATTTCATTTTCACCTTTTGAATCTACAGCAAATATAATGATTCCAGAGGAACTGTGACTCCTATCAGAAACACACCATTGTTTCCAATAAATTTTCAGAGCTACACTCTCCACATGTGTTCTTCTGGGCATATGCCAATAAGATCCTGATATGATACATGCTTCTGAGATAGATGTGAACGTGGGGTTGCAGAAATGCGAGTCAGTGGCATTTGCCTGATAGGGATTTGTTCTGTATAGATCTTACAGCAGTACTTTCCCTTCCCTCACATAGACTTATGCTGAGAGCAATGGAATAACTTCAACATATAAGCCTCTCCCCACTACCTTCCAGGGATGCACGAGATATCACTTTGGAGTTGCTCTGGGTCGAGAGTTCTTCCTCAGACCTCAGGCCTCTCTCAGCTTAACAAGTGAGGGAAGGCCCTGGTTGCACCAGGGAAAGGACCTGGTTCTCAGGGCACATTTTGACTGAGAAGGTAGCTCTTTGGCCTCACTTTTCAGGAGCCATGGACAAGTCTCTCACATACACAAAACATGATTTTCAACTTATGATTTGTTGAGCACTATAGTTTTTCAGATATTCACAATTAAAATCAACGGCAAAGAAGATAAAGTTGTAGGCAATTGGGAAATGCATTACCTGACACACACATTCTAAATTCCCCATGGGTTATAATGAGTGGAAAATTGCAAAAGGAAGACGGGGAGAGAGAAAGAGAAGCAGGTGCTAACGAGGAGTCACAGATTCATCTGCCAAACGGGACACAGAGACCAAAAAAAAGACAAACAGAAAAAGGTAGACACACTCCAATGGGATGACATTCTTAAGATAACCTAATGAAGTGGCTTCTAAGCTTGTCTGGATTCCCACAGAGGCGATCTTAAACACCCTCCATGTTGCCAACACTGCGTTTGTTTAAAACATGTGCTTTGTTTTCGTGTTTGTTTTTACAAATTAACTGCATGCTGTTTGCAGGGTTTAACCATGAAAGATAAATCCCTCACAACTGCAAGAAGCCTGGTCGTCGAAACATAACCTTTCTTTAAACCATCAAGAATTTGAATGGCAAACCATGAGTCACAATACATTCCCTTTTTATTGTCTTCATTGGTTCTCTAAAGGTCACCAGTTTCTCATATAAGCTTATTATGATAGTAAGTTATATCAACAAATGCTGTTTGAAAAAATCTGAAGGGATATTGTAGAGATTGATGTAAGAGAATAAAAAATACAAAACATCTAAGTTTTAAAAGAATTATTACAAGGTATCATTCCTTCTACTTCTCCAGAATGAAGATGGTTTTCTCTTCCTTGTTTTAAGGTGGAGGAAGTGCAGCATGGCAGCATTGAGTGGCCAGGCTGGGCCTGTAGCTGGGTCTGCGCTCCAGGGGGACACTCTAGCCGTGGGACAAAGAGACAAGCAGAAAATGAGCCCAGGGTGGCCTACCTGCAGCTGGCTTCGCTTCTACTTTCTCTCCGCTTGCAGAACGTCGGCCGCCATCTCTTTGATGTGCTCCCAGGCCACCTGCACGTGAACAGATTCCACGGTGCGAGAGCAGATGGCAAAGCGCAGGACAAACTTGTCCCTGAGATGACATGGAACCAAGTGGATTTTTTTGGCATTGTTTATTCTTTGCAGAAGAGCTTCATTCACTTTGTTGGAACCCTGAAGGGATTGAAAGAGAGGAACTGTGCTCAGGTCTCTGAGGACTCAAAAGTCAACCAGTCATGTAGGAAGGCCAGTGCTTGGTGACCCTGCCATACGTCAGGGAGAAGCCGACTAACCATTCCCTCCGTGTTTATGATGTTACAAAATTCAGCAAAATAATAGTAACACACCCTAAAAGACTGCATGCATCTTCTCCCCACAATACAATTTCTCCATATTCTAATATGCCATCCAAAGATGACCCGTCCATGGTCCAAGTTTGTTTTAAGGAAAGCAAAGATCCCTAGATATGTCATCTATAAATATATGAGCTTAAACAGCAGAACTGGGATTTCTCATGGCACCAGGGGAGGGGCCTCTAAAGTCTCACAGAAACGCAGAAGACTCTCAACAACCTAGAAAATGAAGCATAATGGTCAAGCTAGTGCTAGAGTCTGAGAAGAATACCCGTGAACCACAGGACCGAGGGACCATTGGTGACTCTCCAGATGAGCACAGCCCACCAACCTAGGGTAGGGCAGAGGCCCCACCCCTCCCACTACACCAGAGATGGAAGCCTGGTGTCAATCAGCCAAAGGGAAGCCCTTGCTGTCCCGCCTGGATCCTGCTTCCGTAGCAGCCAGTCTCCTGACCCTTCACCTCCACCCCGCGTTGCTCCTCTGTCCTTCTGTTTGTAGGCAGTGACTCCACATCTTCTAAGCCATGGAGTCTTAAATAGAAGGAGCTGAATGTGGGGCACTGCATGCTAGTTGCCCGAACCTTGCAGGACTGCACTGTGTGGCCCTGTCTTCAGAGTGGGGAAGCAGGGATGAGGAGTAGAAAGTGGAGAGTTCTATCCACCACATGGAACCACCTCAGACAAGCACCTGCTGGATGCTGGTGCCTGGAAAATCCCCTGGCCTCTAGCTGTGGGCCTGAGCGCCCTGCTCTGGTCGTAGCCAGGTAGACAGTGATGGGCCAGAGGAAATTTGGAAACCGTGGGTGAACACCAGGTCTGGGCAAATCTGGATGAGGATTCAAGGATGAGGACAGATAAAAAAGAAATGATGATGCCAAGGGAATGGAATTTTACCAAAAAGACTCAGCATGAGAGCAAACATCTGAAATGCATAGAGTACAGAAAATGGAAGCAAATTATTTAAGAAAAATGTGCTTGCCATTTTCAGACTGGACTGGAAGGAGAGGCAGGAAGCCTAGCAGAAGTGGGTCAATGACAAGGAACAAAGTCGGCTGAGTGGGCACAGATGGAGACCAAGGAAGGACTGGCCGAGACGAGGATGGAGGGAGAGAGACCATGACACTGTACAGCATCAGGTCTGCTTTAATAAAGAGCCACATGGCACACATGATCTGAAAACAGCCAGGTAGGTGTTTCATTCTTGTTTTCGCTGTGGCAAAACAAGTGCACTGGCATGATCTCAGCTCCCTGCAACCTCCACCTCCCAGGTTCAAGTGATTCTCCTGCCTCAGCCTCCCTAGTAGCTGAGATTACAGGCATGTGCCACCACTCCTAATTTTTGTATTTGAAGCATTCAGCATGAGAGGACCTGAAATTCAGATCGGAGAAGATTAGACAAGGAGAGAGTAAGGCCAAGATGGAAGACGTGGAGGCAGAAAAGTGAGCCACAGTGTTTGACCAATGCGCTTCCTCCAGAAAGTGGATTTGTAGACTGGAGGTACAAGCAAAGTTTTACAAAAGGAAACATTTGTCAGCTGAACGATGCCTGGGCTTCCTGCACGAGAGGGCTCACTGCATGGCATGCGAGAAGAATGGATGAAAACCAGTACACAGATGGGTTTGGTGGCATCTGTAAATTATGCAAATAAAATTAAAGCCGTAACTTCGACAACATTATGCTAAGTGAAAGACGACAGTCATAAAAGGTAGTATGTTGTATGATTTCATTCATACAGATGTCTAGAGTAGACAACCCTACAGAGACAGAAAACAGATTAGTGGCCCTAAGGACAGGGAATGTGGAGTGACTGAGTACCGAGAACCAGCTCCGTCAGGAGACCCCCACCCAGGCAGGCTGAAGGCACTGAGAGACAGATACCCAGATAGCACAACAGAGTCGATCTATCCTGGGGACCAACAGCCTGAGAGCCTGCGGGGCTGACAGCTCTCCAGATTGAAGGCCCTGAGCAGAGATTCATCCACGTAGCTATTTGCTCTTTAACAGGTGATTCTCATTAATACACAGGTGTTCTACATATACACATAACTCAGGCATATACCAGGTACGCAGCTGTTACCCGCCAACCTCTAATTACAAACTAAAAGGTATCCTCCACGGGGGAACCATGGGGCAGGGGAAACCTAATGTTTCTCAACAACTGGGTGTGGGGTTTTTTTGGGGGGATGAAAATGTTCTAGAATTAGATTGCAGTGATGGCTGCACAACTCTGTAGATACACTAAAAATACTCAAATGTAGACTTTTTTTTTTTTGCAACAAAGTCTTGCTCTGTCACCCAGACTGGAGTGCAATGGGCAATCTCAGCTCACTGCAGCCTCTGCCTCTGAGGTTCAAGTGATTCTCCTGCCTCAGCCTCCTGAGTAGCTAGGATTACAGGTATGTGCCACCACTCCTGACTAATTTTTGTATTTGGAGTAGAGACAAGTAAAAAAATAAAAATAAATAAATAAATAAAGGGTGGGGGGTCAGTGTTTAAAACAAAAAAGAGAGAGAGAGGGCCGGGCGCGGTGGCTCAAGCCTGTAATCCCAGCACTTTGGGAGGCCGAGGCGGGTGGATCACGAGGTCAAGAGATCGAGACCCTCCTGGTCAACAAGGTAAAACCCCATCTCTACTAAAAACACACAAAAAAATTAGCTGGGCATGGTGGTACGTGCCTGTAGTCCCAGCTACTTGGGAGGCTGAGGCAGGAGAATTGTGTGAACTCAGGAAGTGGAGGTTGTGGTGAGCCGAGATCGCGCCATTGCACTCCAACCTGGGTAACAAGAGAGAAACTCCATCTCAGATAAAAAAGAGAGAGAGAGAGACAAGGTTTCACCATGTTGGTCAGGCTGTTCTCAAACTCCTGACCTCAAGTGATCCGCCATCCTCAGTCTCCCAAAGTGGTGAAATTACAGGCGAGAGCCACCACGCCCAGCCCAACTTTAAATGAACAAAGTGAATTATATCTCAATAGTAGACTTTAAATGAACAAAGTGAATTATATCTCAATAGAACCGTTAAAAGTGTATTTTTTAAAAGTCCTACAAGAAAACTGTCAGCAAAAACAAGAATGAAAACGACCACTTGATGGCAGATGAGTCTAATAAGCACAATGTCAACACCAAGGTTGGTAGACTGGCCACATCCTGGACACGGATGGACTGAGGCTTCTCCCACAGACACCCAGAGCGTGTCTTGCCCTCTCAGTCCTCTGGGCACCCCCAGGTCTCATCACTTTGTGCTATTCCAAGAGCTCAAGTCTCCGCTCCAGCTCTGCTGCCTGCAGGCTTTCCCACGGCCTCAGCTCCTCTCTGCCTCAGAGCTCCAAGAGTGATGTGAGGCAAATGGACATGGAAGATGGAGTGGCAGTGCCACACACTGATTGGCAGCCCCTTGACAATGACACTGAGCCCAGCCTGCTCCTTCTGCTGAGTGCTGTCTTTAATTTGAACAAGGAAGCCGCCTGCAGAGGCTTGAAATCATTGTGAATTAAAAGCTCCTTCCAAAACCATACAGAGCGTTAGGTCTCACCTCGCTCCATGTACACAAGGGAGATTACCAAGGGGCATGTGTGCAGAGCATCTTAGAGCCTTTTTTAGAACTGTGTCACGATTCTCAGCAGAGATGGCTTATGCCCCAACCCCCGTGGGCCATCCTGACCTCACCTGGTGAACACACAGCATCAGGCAGCAAAATAATGGTACACCACAGCACAGTGTGAAACAGACTCCTGTGTGGGCATCATGTCAAGGTGCAGAGCCAGCAGTTCTGGGAAGGGGCTCAAGACTGTCTTTTCTAAGGAGTTCCTGGACAAGGCTGAGGACGCTGATGCTGTTGATGCAGAGGACTTTCAGATGAGTGAGGCTATGGACAGACCACCGTCCTCCAGGGAGGGCCAGTGGCAGAGGTGTGGGATGGAGCCTCAGGGGGTGAAAAAATGGTAAGGATGATAGGGCCAGTGAGCTGTGTATGTGAGAAGTCTCAGGGCAGCCTTGAGGAAGCAGGAACAGCCGCCATATGTGGAAGCCAAGCTCTGCGGTGTCGGGCAGGGCAGGCCAGTGGGCTGAAGAATGCAGGCGTTGCTCTGCCATCTCTGGAGAGCCAGTGCTGATCTTTGAGCATGGAGGTAATGAACGACACTTTCCCCTCTGTCACATTCACAGAAAATGAAAAAGACTGCAGTAGATATAGACAAACCTTTAGCCGAAAGCAGACAAGCCCCAGAGTGACTTCCGCACAGATTTCAAAGCGGGGATCCTGGCGCACCAGGGACTCAAACTCATGGGACAGCTGGACGTGCTTGAAAGAGGAAAAGGAAAATCTGTTTTTCTCATGGCCGCTTAATTCAGAACGTAACTACCTAGGAAACCTTATTAGACTGCACATCTGTAATTCATTTAGACTCTCTTGGCAATTCTCAAATGCTTGTGCCATCCACTGACCAGCTCTGTTCCCAGGAAGGCTGAGAAACTCATTCCCTACCATAAGCAAAGGTCTAGTGTCTTCAGGGGAACAGCGACCATCATTTTCTTCTGTTCATGAGACTATTCTTATCCCACCCAGACTGTCTTTTATCATGTCAGACTAAATACTATGAGGAGGTATTTGAACATTCTGGAAGAGACGATGGCTAACGCCCATCGAGTTGCTCCTCTGTATTTGTGGTGCCAGTGCTCACTGCTGCAACATCCTCAGGACAGCCAAAAATACAGAGGATATGCTGATTATCCCCATTTTGCACATAAGAAAACAGTGTGGGAGAGGGCAAGCCGCATGCCCACGGTGCACCCGGAGGCCTTGGCTGAGCTGCGATTCTAAGGCAGCCTGATGGCTGCCATGGCTCTTGCTCCTTCTCAGCATCTGCCACCCAGAACTGGGCATCCTGTCCGCTCTGTCACATTCAGAAATGGCCTTCCTGTCATTGAATACACCAACCTTATTTCACTTCCAGATAGTTATGGAACTCAGAGGCTATTCAGATAGTATGTGACCCTAGGAGAAGGAGCCCTCTGTGGTGTAGGCCCGTACCTTGCTCATTCTGAGCCTGTACATCCAGCATGGCCCCCACGTTGCAGGTGCTGGGGAGGAAGCCGCACCATGGCAGGCCCGGTGCGGCCTACACCTGTCATACGAGCGGTTCCTCATTTTGCCACCAGAGGGCGCCAAAGACCTCGGCCTCATGGGCTATCGCAAAGTCGGTTCCCGCCCAGGGAGACAGGCTTTGAGCGCCGCTGGACTCTGTCCTAAGGCAGGCTTGGGTCGCCTTTCAGAAAGAAGTGGGGTGCGTTTTAAACAGGAGGCAGCATGATCACAACTAGTTGTCCTTGAGCTTAAAGATGTCATTATTGTGGAGAGATAAACCCCTCATTTTTTGGCTCTCTTTCCCCCCCAAAAGCTGAATTCATCTCAAATGGGGAGAGGGGTCTTTCCTACTCATGAATTCATATACATACTCCTTTCCCAGTTCTCACCCCCAAACAGGTCCTCATAGTGCTCGGCAGCTCCTGGAACTGTTCTCACTAAAGCTTTGGGAGGTAGACAGTTTACGGCATGTCCTAAGCATTCCACAAAGCTTGCAAATGGATGCACTTTTTTATATGCTGTGCCACAGACGAGGCTGCTGGGGACACCTGCCCCTGTGCAGCTGGTTGTGAAGCGGGCAACGGGACTTAAAATGAAGGGCTGCCACCAGCACTAAGGCTGAATATCGCAGGTGCACTTGTTCCTATGAAGCCTGGGGACCTCTGTCCATCAAGATGAGGCCACAGCTTAGGAAGGACACAGGATCGGAGGGAGCCAGCAGAACAGCAGCTGGCCTTCTGCGGCTGGCTAAACGGGTTGCTCTAGTCAGTTCCTGCCTCATATTCAGGCCTCAGTTTCCTCAATTATTATTATTATTTTTTTTTCGAGATGGAGTTTTGCTCTTGTTACCCAGGCTGGAGTGCAATGGCGCTATCTCAGCTCACTGCAACCTCCGCCTCCTGGGTTCAGGCAATTCTCCTGCCTCAGCCTCCTGAGTAGCTGGGATTACAGGCACGCGCCACCATGCCCAGCTAATTTTTGTATTTTTAGTTAGAGACGGGGTTTCACCATGTTGACCAGGATGGTCTCGATCTCTTGACCTCGTGATCCACCTGCCTCGGCCTCCCAAAGTGCTGGGATTACAGGCTTGAGCCACCGTGCCCAGCCTTCCTCAATTATTTTTTTTTAAATGCAGGGGAGACAGGCTTGGAGCTGATGAGTGGTTCTCAATTTCAGTGCATAGCGACGGTGTCTGGTCTGCTTGTTAAAGCAGAAGTCACTGGGCCCCACCGCAGGCCGGCACTGCTGTTCTGGAAGCATGTCTGAGCACCACTGGCCTAGGGAATATCTATCTTTTTCTGGCAATTTGGAGGGACAGAAACACATTCATTATGTTCTCATGATTGCCATTGCTCAATGAACTTCGTTCTTGGCTAGATGTGGCTAAACACAACTTATGTGGTGTTTCTACTTTGACCATCTTCCTGGACCTGATACCCTGCAATCTTAATAAAAGGGACTTAATAGATCTTATAAATGACCTCATCTCAACAACCCAAACTACAGTCTGGTTCCCTTGCCGTGTATCTGCTTATTAAGACGTTTGAAGGCCAGGCACAATGGCTCATGTCTGTAGAGCCAGCACTTTGGGAGGCCATGGCATGTGGATCGCTTGAGGTCAGGAAGTTCAAGACCAGCCTGACCAACATGGTGAAACCCCATCTCGACTTAAAATACAAAAATTAGCTGGGCATGATGGTGTGTGCCTATAATCCCAGCTACTCAGGAGGCTGAGGCAGGAGGATTGCTTGAACCTGGGAGGCAGAAGTTGCAGTGAGCTGAGATGGAGCCATTGCACTCCAGCCTGGGCAACAAAAGCAAAACTCCTTCACAAAAAAAAAAAATTTTTTTAATTTATTTCTAAAGTCCCAAAAGACCTCTGCAGTTTTACCCAGATAAATAGTAAAAGCAAAGTCACCTTGCGGATATAAGCCTGCAGTCCTTTGACCCCGTACATCCTAAATACAAACCACATTTTCAAAGAGCGAAATCTTCGGCCCAGTGGTATCTGCCAGTGCTGAAATCAAAGATGAAACGGAGCATCAGTGAGGAAGATATTAAAAGCCGGCTCCCTTTTCAGCTCACCGGCTCGCCTGTTTCTCTTGGAGGCAGCCGATTCCCTGGCAGCCACCCTGCTCCCTCTACCATGGCTGGTCTTGAATAGCAACGCCCATGGTGGTGTGGGCAGGGGCTTTCTTTGCAACTCTCCAAGAGAGAGGAGGACCGACAGGGACTGTTGACCTGGGAGCCCGCACTGTTCGTTGTTTTCACTCAAAAGATGTTTGTGGACATCACAGTAGGGCCAGACCCTGGGCTAAGCTCTGAGGTTCCATGGTAAACAAACAGGTTCGGAAACATGGCCCCACCCCCTGCGAGCTCACCATCCAGTGGGGACAAGGGGGTGATTTTCATTGATCTCTTGCCTACGAGGAAGGAGGGACCCTGAACCCACTCTCGTCTGCCATTTCCACCCTGGTTGTTCTGGCACCGTTTTCTAGAGCAATGCTGGTCCCCTTTTGGTCCCACTGATCACCATGGAGTGACCCCAGACCGCTCACCAGAAAACACAATGTGTGTCTGCGCACTGGTGCTCCAGAAGCTTTCCTACTCCTTCCCCTCTTTCCCCCAGACCTCGTCAGCTGAATGGCCCCCACACGTTCTGAGGGATGGAGATGTGGTGAGGTGAATAGGAGAGGACCGGGAGAGGGGGCTGCTGGGAAGTGAGCATAGCAGCACTGTGTGGTCATTTTAACAGTCATATTCTATTTGAGCTACAAAGCAGATGCCGAGGAGAGCTGAGCCAGCTCCCTGCTGGGCCTGGGTGACACAGTGCAGCCAGGTGTGACACCCAAGCTCAGCCAGGCCATCTGCGGGTGGGGTTGCTCAGCCGGAGTCCTGAATCCTGCACTGCTCTCAATAGGAGGGCTCACAGGTGGTTTTAAAGTGTGGATGGAGGCCGGGTGCAGTGGCTCACGCCTGTAACCCCAGCATTTTGGGAGGCCAAGGCAGGTGGATCACCTGAGGTCAGGAGTTCGAGATCAGCCTGACCAACATAGTGAAACCCCGTCTCTACTAAAAATATAAAAGTCAGGCTGGTGTGGTGCATGCCTATAATCCCAGCTACTTTGACAGCTGAGGCAGGACAATCACTTGAACCCAGAAAACAGAGGTTGCAGTGAGCCAAGATTGCACCATTGCACTCCAGCCTGGGCAACGGAGTGAGACTCCGTCTCTAAATAAATACATAAAACAAAGTGTGGGTGGAATGAACAGGTGGCAGCTAATTTTGGACACAAGAGAAGCAGCTGAAGGGCCCAGAGCCAGGGTTCTACAGGAGCTTCTCAGGTCAGAAGGGACCCAGCCTCAGACTCAGGCATTCAGCATGGTTCCTCCGAGTTGTACGCCAGGCCCTGCCAAGTGTGTTGACGTATCATCTCCATTGAGCTTTCTAGCAGCACTGTAAACAGGGGTTTGGATCCCCTCATTCTTGGAGCGAAAGCAGGTGTGGAGAGTGACTTGTCCAATGTCACTGAGCTGGCATGCGGCAGAACCTGAGCCGAACCTGCACACACAGTTGTCTGCTAATCAGCACTGAGTTTTCAAACTGCTGGGATGCTCAAGAACTAAGCTAACTTGTCTTTTTGGGAAATCTAAAAGAAGAATCCCTTACCACGCCACTAACTGGCTGACTCTCTACCTATCAGACAGTAAAGCGACGCTTCCTTGCCAGGGTTCAGTATGGGTGCTGCACTCCAAAATCATTCCTCGGCCAACCTCCTACAAATTAAAATATGGTTTTGTCTATCATTTGGAAAAATACCAAGGTAAACTTAATTTCTGTGGTCCTGGAGTGAAAACACACACCATCTAATTGAATGCTCACTCAAATGTGGCTCGAAATGCTGTCAAGATCTCTCCAGAGGCACTGTCCCCTCCCGCAACATGCTCCTGGGGAGCAGTAGATGGGAGGACCATGAGCCATGTGGGCTGTGGTCCCTGTGGACCCAGCCTCACCTCCTGCCAGACTGAGTTCCCAGAGAAAAGAAAAGACAGGGATCATTTGCCATTTTATTCCCAGCCCCACGCCAGCACCTGGCGGGGCTCGGAGCGGCCAGCCCACATTCTGTGAAAGATTGTTGATGGACATACTTAAACAAATCAGGAGAAAAACCCGTTTGACCCTCACTCATGCATCCAGCTAAAAGGAATCTGCACATAGAAGACAATTCGTATTTGACGCTTCCCGGGCATCAGATGAGCTGTTTCCTGGTACTTTTTCCTCCACAATTGACCATTTTTAAAAGTGCATTTTGTCCCACTTTTGATAAGCCATCAACATCCTCCAGAGGATGCAGTTTACTCATCCAAACAGCGTGAAGGACTGCGTGGCTCAGTGGCCTGTGACCCAGGTCTGTGGTCCTATCTTTCAATAGGTTCAGCAAACGTTTTAACTTTTCTGAACCTCTGTCTCCTCCCCTATGAAATAGGCATAATGATGCCTGCTTTGCACACTGGAGGCAAATGGTGCTATCTTACATCTTCAGGGTGCCATTCACCATCAGAAAGAACACAGAGCGCCTTTGCCAAGCCTGGTGTCCTGAACAGCCTTCTCCTGGGACTAACACTCCAATCTCGTGTCCTCATCCACTGGCGGAGGACAGAACTACCAGTGCCTGCTCATCCTTTTCACCCCACCCTACACACCCCCACTGGCCTGGTAGGGAGCCCCCTGTCCAGGGGTCTTCTCCTTTAGCCTGATGGCTCTGACAGCCTTAGGTTTGGGTTTCCAACCTCTTTGAACAAAATGACAATGTCTATGATATTCCTTCCCATTCCCTGCTGAGTCCAGCAAAGCAAATGCTCTGGGGACATTTGCCTGGAATTCACATTACAGGTGGGAATCATAGAGGAGCCTGAGAGGTGCATGTGAGGAGAGAGGGAAAGAGGGCACTCCACTGTAGCTAAAATAGCGGCACAGAGAAGATGCTGGGAAATATGGCCAGGGATCTCCCTGGGTGGTGGCAGATGGACAGGGTCCAGTGAGAGGCAGTGACACTTGTGCCTGCACCCAGGGATAGAAAGAGCAAAGCTGGGGTGAGAGGTGCCCCTCGGGCTCTGCATGCCAGGGTCTCTGAGGCTGCTCCCATACTCACACCCGGCCAACTTATGTGTGCTTTCTCAGTGGCTGCCCAGGGCTATCCCCACATGGCCACTCCTGCTTCCTGGGGCTGGTGTGCTGAGGCCTCATGCCTGCGCCTCGTGTTTAGAAGCCTCTCTGCTCCAGAACAGCTTCCACCCTCTGCATTCCATCTTTCATAAGGTTTATTCCTTTGTCCCCTCATCAGCCATGAAATATTGGCTGTGAACATGTGATGCACCATCTCTGTCTCTCTCAGGGACACAGTAGCACAGAAGGCCAATTGCCGCAGAGGGCCTCCCAAGCCTGCTGGATGCCAGTGGGGTCGGGCTGCTATGGTGCTTCCCACCTGCCTGGATTTATTTAGAAGCAGCAGGCAGCCAAACAAGAGCTGTCCCCACACCGCTCCTGACTCAGGCGCTGCCAGCCATGGCAGGGACCTCAGCATCATCACCTGCCACAAGCAGCAAGAGGCGATCTGGTGGGCAGAGGACTAGCGAAGGACTTGGGGTATGTCCTCTTGGGCCACAAATGGGCAGCCTGGAGGATCGATGTGTCTCAGGTGTGTTTCAGAAGAGACATCAGGGCCTGCATGATCTGTGCCTCTGTCTCCCTCAGTGGCTGGGAGTCCTGGAGGCGGCTTTGGGCCTCACTCATCTCTGAGTAGCTGCAGGAGCAGCTCATAGCTCCTGGTTGGAAAGGGAGTGCCAGTCTAGGGGCTGCCTTGAGATGGGGTGAAAGAGATCCAGGTCTCACAGCAGGACCAACAGGGTGGGGGGTACAGGGGTCGCTCAAAGGATGCTTTGAAAGTAGGGCTGGAGCACAGGTTGCTGAGGCTTGACCTTTCCTTAACTGAGGCCAACAGCTTTCATTAAGCTAGTAGAGATAACTAGTTGAAGCGACAGAAGGACAAATGCTTTCCAATGAATGCATGGCCCATCAAGGCAAGGTGAATGGTGGGCTCAAGTCTTCTGGATTGGCAGTGGGGAAAGGGGATGCAGCTTGAGGTGCTGGGAGAATAAGGCCCAGCACTAAGGACAGAAGGGGACAGAAAGACAGGGATCAGACTCTTTCCTCACCCCATGAGGGACAGGGACTGGCGGTAGAGGGAGCAGGATGAAGAGCGTAGGGTTGGGGAGAAGCAGTGAGCCTTGAGGACCAGAAGGGCCCTGGCTGGTGCAGAAAAACAGACTGGGAAAGTGCCAAGAGAGCCCTGCCACCTCTGCGGTTCTGCAGGCGGTTGCCAGTACAGATCTGTGATTCTCGATGAATGGTAGAGACTGTCTGAGGAGGTCCTGTTCCCTGAGCTGCTAGATGCGGGCAGAGCTGAAATGGTTCTTGCCTTGGGCAACTTAACATAAACCAGCATTTCTGGGGATGGTGCCCCAGGCCTTTGAAAGACAGTGCCAAATGTATTAAAAAGGACTTTGGTTCCTAGAAGACTTGTTAGTCAATATGGAGCTTTGTTTGTTTGATTTTTTGAGACAGAGTCTTGCTCTGTCGCCAGGATAGAATTGCAGTGGCACCATCTCAGCTCACTGCAACCTCCACCTCCCAAGTTCAAGCAATTCTTCCACCACAGCCTCCTGAGTAGCTGGGATTACAGGTGCACGCCACTGTAATATATATATATTTATATATTTTTTTTTTTAGTAGAGACAGGGTTTCACCTTGTTGGCCAGACTGGTCTTGACCTTGTGAACCACCCACCTTGGCCTCCCAAAGTGCTGAAATTACAGGCGTCAGCCACTGCACCCACCCATGAATATGGAGTTTTCAGCAAAGCTTGTTATTTTATGTGTCATGTGACATGGTGTCAGGCCTTTTTTTCTAATGATATCTAAGCTGGGAAGGAAAACATTAAATAATAATAAAAGACATGAAGTGTTTGTGCCTGTGCTCGTCACCCCATTTTCAGTCTCATGCAGCAGGAAACAGCTCATCAGCCGCAGAAAGCTGGATGTGCCAGATGTCCACTGCCCAGTCATTTAGGGAAGCAAGGAATTTCCCAGCAAAGTAGTTAAATAACAGGGAAATAATCATACCACATAGCACAGGGTTCTGCGTGGCCTTTCTGTACTTACTAAGGCTGCAGAGGAGTGGAGAAGGCATCGCAATGTTAGTTTCAGTGCCGTGAGAATCAGCTGCAGTGTGGTCGGTGCAGCACGTGGCCCTCATGCAACATGAAGTCTGAGAAAGGCCACGAACAAGAGGAGGAGGAGGACACACAGGCCACGGCAGTGTGAGGATGCAAGGTCAGGCTGAGCCGGGCCTCTAGTTGTTTTTAGTATTATTGTCATGTTTTCCCTTCAATAATAACTTTCTAGGCCGGGCACAGTGGCTCACGCCTGTAATCCCAGCACTTTGGGAGGCCGAGGCGGGTGGATCACGAGGTCAGGAGGTCGAGATCGTCCCGGCTGACAAGGTGAAATCCCGTCTCTACTAAAAATACAAAAAATTAGCTGGGCATGGTGGTGCACCCCTGTAGTTCCAGTTCCTCAGGAGGCTGAGGCAGTAGAATTGCTTGAATCCAGGAGGCGGAGATTGCAGTGAGCCGAGATTGCGCCACTGCACTCCAGCCTGGGCGACAATGTGAGACTCTGTCTCACAAATAATAATAATAATAATAATAATAACTTTCTAAAAGATAAGTCAGATTGTCAATTGTGATTGATATGAAAGTTTTAAATGGCATCATCCATGGGTCTTCCCACTGTGCCCTTATGCTTATGTGCACACACTCTGGCCTTTCTCCATAGGTGTGGAGCTGGGAGGTCCCAAGCAAGCTTTGCCAAAACTGTCCTTGAACCAGCCTTGATGGCTTGGGAAGGTTTACTGGTGCTCCCCACATCCTGGCTCACAGCTGTCAGAGGAAGAAGGAAAGCTACACATGCCTGTGAGGGGCAGCGCCTGCTGGGTCATTATCACACCGGCTGCTGACAATACCACTTGCACACGCCTCTGTCGGGAAATAGCAGCCCCTGCTTTGATGATGTCTGGTGCCCATGATGCCTGAACAGAAAGAACTGGACACAGGTCATATATTTTTTTTTTAAATGGAGTGTCACTCTGTCACTCAGTCTGGAGTGCAGTGGTGTGATCTTGGCTCATTGCAACCTTCGCCTCCCAGGTTCCATCAATTCTCCAGCCTCAGCCACCCGAGTAGCTGGGATTACAGGTGCCTACCACTATGCCTGGCTAGTTTTTGTATATTTAGCACAGATGGGATTTTATCACGTTGGCCAGGCTGGTCTCAAACTCCCCACCTCAGGTGATCCACCCAACTCGGCTTCCCAAAGTGCTGGGATTACAGACATGAGCCATCGCACCTGGCCACAGATCATCTCTTGATGACAGAAGATAGCCAGCTCTGCGGCCACACCTCTCTCCTCACTGAGTTTCACCCTACCTCTTGGGTTCTATTTTTTTGATAACCCTTGCAGCACTGCCTTTGGTTACAGATTTCTTTCCAGACTAACACTAGGACAACGTGGCATTTTCAAAGTATGCCTCATTCAACATTTGTGGCAAATAAAAAGGAGAGTGGACCAATGCATTTGAGACCAGGCTGCCGAGATGACTGGCCCCACCTGGGAACGTTTTATGTTCCCCAACTCTTTACTCTCCCACTGCCCCCACCTGTGCAGCCCCAGGCACACAGCAGTGCAGGGCAGAGGGGACCTTTCCTTCCAGAGGAATGGGGACAGAGGCTCCTTCTCCATCCCCAGGAGTGAAGTCCAGGCTTTGCCCTCCTCACCTGAGACCTCTGACTGGGGGGCTCAGCAGAGCTGCCCACCACCTGGCAGGACCCCACTAATTTGTCAGTTAGGACTCAGTTAGAAGGTGCCCACCAGTGCTGATCATGAGAGTGGAGGAGGGGATGCATGACAGCCGCAGAGGCCCCCAGGACTCCATTGGCATTTGAGATTACAGTGGTATCTCTCACTTACCCGGTAGTCAGTGATAAATCCTGGAGAAAAGAGAAAGAAAAAGAAACTGTTAGATTTGTTGATCACATGCTAATCCTTTTCATCTTCCAGGTAAATTTCTTGTGTCTTCCAAGCCAGAAATAAAACTGCCTAAAGGCTGGATCTGGGTGTTCTTTGTGGCACTTCCCAGGATAACATATTCAAGGGAAGTCCCCTGAGAACAGGATGCCCAAATCACAAATCGGAAATGTTACACTCTTATTAGACCCCCATTCGTTTTGCTTTCTGCAGTTACATAGCATGAACATCTGAGGTTTCATCTAGAGCCCAGTAGAGAGTTAACATTCAGATCACGTAAATTGCCCATCATTCATTTATTCATGCATGGGAAGGTGAATGCGTGATATACGGAGTGATAAGAATATTTTCTAAAGAAGAGAATGAAGCTCTTAGTGGGAGTATTCATCTCTCTATCCGTGGATATTAGCAGATCTTAGTTCAGTATCTGGGACAGAGCAGATAATCAGTGAGTGTCTGTTGAGTGTTTTAACATCCGGGATTCGTTGGCTCCACACTGGTTATGAAAAATGTTTGCTTTGCCTTTGAACCTCCCCTCATGCCTAAAGAACCCTGGATGTGGGCTCATAGATGGGAGTTTCCATTAATACAGGTGATCCTGCACAAGGCATCAGGTGAGGATTCTGACAACGTGCTGCAATCCTACTGCACAGATCTGTAGAGAAGGGAGTCTCGTGCTCTGAGAGAAGATCCAAGAATGTGGGCTGGACCAGGCACTTCGGTGTCCCCTACTTCCCCCGCCAACAGGGGCTGGGACAAGCTGTTCACCTAATACAACCCATGCCCCACCCTGCGCTGCATCCACTGCACAGGAGTGTCTACGTTGTGTTCACAAGAACATCTGAAGTCACCACGTGGTATCATTCTCTGACTGCCATCTGGCTGCCAGGAGAAAATAGGTATTTTCTCCATTAGCATAAAAAGTGGCAGTGCTGGGAGGAGATGCAGGACCTCCACCCCCTATTTTATGGGTGACCCTGAGACAGAAGCCCAAAGCCACACAGCCTATCTCAACCCATAACCAGCAGCCATGCAGCCTCTCATTAGTAAGGGAGCTTGCTATACAAGCGTAACATCAGCAGCAGCGTTCTACAATGATTCACAGAGACCAATACAAATGAAACAGCACCCAACAGAGTGCATGCAGGCTGCACTCAGTAAGAAATTGTCAAGGCCGGGTGCAGTGGCTCACACCCTCCTAACTTGAGACCTCCCACTGGGGGGCTCAGCAGAGCTGCCTGCACCCAGCAGGACCCCAGTAATTTGTCAGTTAGGACCCAGTTAGAAGGTGTCCACCAGTGCGTGCTGATCATGAGAATGTGGGAGGAGACGGGTGACAGCCACGGAAACCCAGCACTTTGGGAGGCCAAGGCACGCAAATTGCTCAAGCTCAGGAGTTCAAGACCAGCCTGGGCAACATAGTGAAACCCCGTCACTTCCAAAAAAAAATACAAAAAATTATCCGGGCCTTGTGGTGAATGTCTGTGGTCCTAGCTACTTGAGAGGCTGAGGTGGGAGGATCACTTGAGCCTGGCAGGTGGAGGCTACAGTGAGCCAAGGTTGTACCACTGTACTCCAGCTTGGGTGACAGAGCGAGACCCTGTCTCCAAAAAGAAAAAAAATGTGAAACAACCAGATGATCACCATGAATGAAAATGAGGGAATGCCATACCTTTTTAATGTCTATTACTGTACCATCTGATATGGTAGCTACTAGCCACATGTGGCTGTTGACATTTAAATGTAAGGAAATTAAAACTAAAGAAAATTAAACTTTAGTTCTGCAACAGACGAGCCACATTTCAAGCGCTTCGTAGCCACATGTGGACTGGTGGCTGCCATATTGGGTGATGCAGAATTATAGATTTCCCTCATCGCAGAAACTTCTACAGGACAGAGAAGCTGGAGGCTCTCAGTAGAAGAATTCAGATACAGTGTCTAATTAGTCCAAGTTCCTATCTGCTTCTCCATGAATCTGCTTCCTCATGGACGAGTGAAGAACTGGCCCAATTTAGAAGCTTCCTTGCACAATTCTTTACTGTTAACATAAAAAATGGCAAACCTCTTAGCCAGCAATTTCCTGTGACAATGATTTTACTTGAACTGTGGACTACTTAATAGGTCTCAGGTGCCTCGTAAGACATAAAACTTCATGAGATACACGCAGGAAGGGCAGCTTGTAAATTGGTAATTGATAAGTGGTGCAGAGTTCAAACAATGCATCGAACAAGACTGGTAAGAGATACAGCAATAGCCAGGTGCAGTGGCTCAAGCCTGTAATCCCAGCACTTTGGGAGGCCGAGGCGTGTGGATCATGAGGTCCAGAGATCAAGACCATCCTGGTCAACATGGTGAAACTCAGTCTCTACTAAAAATACAAAAAATTAGCTGGGCATGGTGGCGCGTGCCTGTAATCCCAGCTACTCAGAAGGCTGAGGCAGAAGAATTGCCTGAACTCAGGAGGCGGAGGTTGCAGTGAGTCGAGATCGCACCATTGCACTCCAGCCTGGGTAACGAGAGCGAAATACCTTCTCAAAAAAAAAAGAAAAGAAAAGAAATACAGCAATATATTAGCAACATTTGCATTTGAGTGGTGGGATTATGGGCATTTTCTGGCCCAGCATTGACTCTGTTTTCCAAATGTACATCTCTAGTAATAAAGGACACATCTTCAAAGCCTATGTGACTGGTGTAACCACCTTCCCCCCTCACCAGCATTCTGACAGAATTTTCAGTTATCAAACAAGAAACTTTTGCTTATTTTGGTTCTAGTTCAATGCCTACCATTAATTGGCCAGATACACTGGCCCACCTTAAATGAGATGACATACATGAAGTGCATTCCCTGCTGTGGCTCTGGAGCAGCCTGTGTCCCCCGATGCCACTTGATCACTGCCCGCTGGTCCCCTCCCTGCTAGACGTTGCAGGTAGGTGCTGAGCCTCCTTGGCTCTCACCAGCACCAGGCCTACTGACCAAATGACTTAGGCACACCTTTGTGTGCTGCTCTGAGCCTTGGCTTCATCTTATTTTCTCTGCCCTCACCAACCCTACTCAACCTCCTTCGTCTACTTTGCTTCCTTGTGGTGTTGGCGGAAAGCGATGCAAAGCCTTTTTATAAAGACATAAAATTATTTTATTAAAGATGTTTCCTTATCTGCAGGAGGTGTGCAGGCCCATGTTAATATCCCCTGGCTGTGAGCACCTGCCCCTGCTCCTGCGCTGAGCCGGGAAGGTTCTCGGTGCTTCTAGAGTGGAAGCGTCCCCCAGGGAGCCACCCCAGGCCTTTTAACCAACCCACAGGGAATGGGCTGTGAGGGGAAATCTACGGAGCACCCGGCTCTTCTGCTGGAGCCTCCTTGGACATGGACAGTCTTCCCCTAATTCCCAGGCACCTCCAGGGCAGCTCTGAGAGGAACAAGACCAGAAACACTCCACAGACAGCAAGCTCACAGCTTACCTGAATCCTGATGGCTGTGCTTCAGGTAAGTGGGATCCAGTCTAAAGGCATTTGCTAAGTCTGCTCTCTTTTTCACCCTGGTTTTAGAGAACAAATGATAGGGCTGGTAACTAAGCACCCTAGACAAGACCCTCTCTCCACTTAGCTCAGCTCAGGCACCTGCTTCTGGCCCTGCCCTGAACACCACTCTGCCTTCACTCCCTGTCTCTGCTCCAAGTACCTGGGGAGGGAGTCTTAGAATAAAATATAAGTATTTGGTCTTAGTTGCAGGTTCCTGGTACACAGCTCCTAAAACCCTTGAGATCTCCCAGTGATGAGTGTGTTTTGCATGTTAATAAGACAACTGGGGGCTGGGGTCTCCTCGATGGCTTCCAATCTCCAGGGAGGGTAGGGGCTGGAGATGAGTTGGCCAGTGATTTAACCAATCATCCCCACTGAATGAAACTCCATTCAAAACTCCTAAGTGGCAGGGTTGGAGAGCTTCTGGGTTGGTAAATGTTTCATGATGCCAGAATGGTGGCATACACAGAGAGGGCCTGGAAGCCACATGACCTACCACCCCACCCATACCTTGCCCTGGGCAGTTCTTTGCTTGTACTCTTTATAACCTGTTATCCTAAGTAAAATGCTTCTTTTGAATTCTGTGAGTTGGTCTAGTAAGTAACCTGGTGCAGGGGTTATGGGAACCCCCCGACTTTGTAGCCATGGTGGACAGAAGTGTGGGTAACCCAGAGACCCAACATTCAGGCTTGTGAGACTGAGCCCTTAACCCTGTGGAGTCTGACGCTACATCGGGGTAGTTACAGTCAGAATAGGGGCGAGTTTAGGACACCCAGCTGGTGTCTGCAGAGTTGGAGAATTGGTGTCGAGAGGGAAAATCACACAGGTTAGCTTTTGCTCCTCTCTTTCCAGGGACAGTACCGTATGTGTGTGGGTGTGAAAATCCTGAGGAGTAATGAGAGAGAAGGCCAGGATGCCCCGGGCTGCAGACGGGGTCCTCTCCCACCTGTCTGCACATGGCTCACTCACACAGGTAGTCATTCTGCATAACTCGGACCCAAACTCAGGCTGGGCTTTGAAGGGCCTGTGCTTTATGGTAACTGCCATTGCTCTGCTTCATTGGCAGGGTGGTGACACCATTGCAAAGCAATTTTGTGGCAAATAAAGTATCCTAAGGGCAAACTAGAGAAGAAATGTTAATCTGACAGTAGCTTAGGCTTGAAAAGAAATATCATGTGAGAATCCCCGAAAGACAGAACCCGGTGAGCATGAAATAGGATGCCAGGATGTGGTTTACCAAGGAAGTGTGAGAGAGGCTGGATTCATCTGTCAAAGGTCATTGAGGCTTTCTTTTTTTAAGGGCAAAGACAGACAAGGTCAGTAGGGATAATAAGCTGAATAGTGTATATTCTTTCTTTGACTTGTGGAAGAAAATCTACGGCACCTAATTTTGTATGTGTATGGGAATTTTTTTGCACCATCGGCATTTTATGAGGAGCCGCTGGTTGCTGTTGGGGGAGGGTGCGCGGTGGTCCTTTGGGTCTCTGCATTAGAGAAAGCTCTGTGCCTAGCCTTAGGGAGAGGGGACCAAGAGGGATGTGAATACCTATGGCTATCAGCACGACTCTGCCCTTTGTTCATGAAGACCACTTTCCCTTCTCAGTTCTTTAATGTAAAATATTTTGCACTAATTAAAGCCATACAAAAAGATGTAAAGAATAAATCACCACTCACTCCTTGTGAAATAAAACTTAAATTATAGGTATTAATGAAGGTTACATATTCCTGCCCCTCCCTGCTTCCTCTCCCTGCCCCACACAAGAGGCTGCAAGGCTGACGTTGGGCTTCTATTCTTATGTAGCTCTACAAAATTTTCTCTCCAGATCCCTAAGCAATCTACATTATTTCACACACTGCTAAACATACCATAACATAAACTTAAGACATATTGTCATAAATGTTATAATTCTATGCATGTTTCTATGATTTGCTTTTTTATCCAAAAATAGACCTATGAGTTTCACATTCATTCTTGCACAGAGCTCTTGCTCAGTCATTTGTATGACCTCATGGGAGTTTAGTGCATGCACATATCCCAATCCATTCATTCTATTATTTCCCATTTATTGATAGTCAAACTACACTGCTGTGAACATGTGACCATCCCTGTGTATACCTCCTGGAGCCCCTAGCGCCACTGCCCATCAGCCATATATCTGCCAGTGGAATAGCACAAGGTGAGCTTCGTTAAGGCTAGAGGAAAACATCTACAGCCCTCTCAATAGCACCAAATCAGTCTCACAATGAGAGAGCTCCTCTTCTTCCATATCCCGGCCAACGTTCAGTATGAAGAGACTATTGTCAACAACCTGTAGTATTTCACTGGGATTTCCATTTCCATTTCTGATTACTAAGGGGGGTGAGTAACTTCACATTTATTAAGCACCTCTGTTTCCTCCTTGGTAAATAATTTTTTGTTCATTTTTCTATTAGATTACTTGTCTTCATCATATTGAACCGCAACAATTCTGTAAATATTGGGAGCCTTCACTGGAATGTGTATGGCCTGTTTCTGGCTCTCTTGGCCTTCCAATCTGCTCTACCTGTCTGTGCCCGCACTGAGCTGCATGAGCTCAGTCGTGGTTGCTTTACACACACATAGATATTTGAGGAGGCAACTTTCTCACTACATTTTTTTCACAATTATCTTGGCTATTCTTGCCCCATATAAATATTATGCCAGCCAGGATATTTATTAGCACTCTGCTGAAGTCTAATATTGAGTCTTCCTCTTTATCAATGTATCAGTCCATTTAGTTATGACTTCTCTAATGACTTCCAAAAAAACCGTAGACTTTTCTCCATATAAATCTGAACAGGTTTTGATATATTTGTTCACATTAACCTTCTATATTTTCTTGCTATTATAAAGAGTATTCCTCTTATAAACATTAGACTTACTGTTTAAGGTAGATGTAAAAAAAATGCAAGCTTAAAAATGTCAGTGTGTCTAGACATCTTGCTGGGTTCTTTTATTAATAATACTTTGAGGACTCTCTTTTTATTGCGATTACATCATCCGACAATAATGAGAGTTTTATGTCTTCCATTCTGATCCTTACATGTTTACATCTTCATCTTTTTTTTTTTACTATGGAGGTTAGGAAAATCCAATGTTGAACGGAAGTGGAGATGATTTTTTCCTGATTTTAAGGGGAGTGCTTCTAACATTTCACCGTTCAGTCTAAGTTCACTATGATTTTGGTAGTTAACTTTTATCAGATTAAGAAAGTTCTCTACTGTTCCTATTTTGCTAAGACTTTTTGTCCTGCACTGCTGTTGACTTTTATCTAATGCTTTTTCTGCATCTAATGTGATAACTTTTTCTCCTTCACTGTTAACATGGTGAATGGCATTTTAAAATCTTCTAATATTAAAACATCCTGGCATATCCAGATTAAACACAGTTTGGTGATGGCATACTGTATTTTTTAAAATATTATTGAATTTTATTTGTGAATGTTTGACTTAGAATTTTGACACTTAGTTTGTAAGACTGTTTCATAGTTTTTCTGTCTCAGCTTCTCATTTGGTTTTAGAATCAAATTGAGACTGGCTTCATGATATAGGAGGCGCTGTGGCCTCTTTTGCTGTTCTCTGTGAATTACACTTATGATTGGACTGATAAGTTTCTGCAGTTTAGAATACTCACTGTTTAAGAATTTGGGTATTTCTGTTGTATGAAAATTTAACTACTGACACATTGTATTAGCAGTAAGATTTTCCAGGTTTTCCATTTACTCTTGAGTTAGTTTGGTGTCACGTTTTGTTGCAGTTACTGTACATGTGTGTTTATGGGCAGTTCTTGGCATGATGTTATGCATAATGCCCCCTTACGATTTTGGGAACTCTCTGAAGTATCTGTAATTATGCCTTTTTAATTTTCTACTAGAGGTTATCTGGGTCTTCTCATTATTTTATTTTATTTTATTTTATTTTATTTTATTTTATTTTATTTTTTAGAGACAGAATCTCGCTCTGTTGCCAGGCTGGAGTGCAATGGCGCAATCTCGGCTCACTGCAATCTCTGCCTCCTGGGTTCAAGAAATTCTCCTGCCTCAGCCTCCCAAAGTGCTAGGACTACAGGCACACACCACCATGCCCAGCTAAGTTTTGTATTTTTAGTAAAGACGGGGTTTCACCGTGTTAGCCAGGATGGTCTCGATCTCCTGACCTCAAGATCCGCCTGCCTCAGCCTCCCAAAGTGCTGGGGTTACAGGTGTGAACTACCATGCCCAGCCTCTTCTCTTTATTTTTAACCCATCTTTCCAGAGGTTGTTTATGTAATTAGGCAGGTCAACTAACAACATCTGGCTTTGTCATCCTTTCTGCTGGGTCTTTTTTTGTGTATTTTGTTACATTTCTTAACTCTTACTATTTTCTTCCTTTTACTTCTTGAAGGTTTATTTTGTTGCTGCTTTCTAGCTTAATTTTGATACTTAGCTTATGATTTTCTGGCTTTTCTCTTTTCAATTGAAGTCTATTTTGTAGGTGCTGCGTTAGCTGCGTGTCTTTTTATTCAGTTCTCAGTATTTGCAGTTCCTCATTATACTTTATTCATTGGCCCATGCTTCCAATGGGCCTGTGGTAGTCTCCTCTTCAATATTTAGGTGCTAAATTTGCATTTCCTGGTAAGATTTGATGGATATTATAAAGAGAAAGAATTTTATGGAAACAGTTGTGCATGCATACTTGAGGACATACATGGGTGCAGGCGCGCGCGCGCACACACACACACACACACACAGAGAGAGAAACATGCTTTTGTGGCACCAGAGTCACCTCACATGGCGACCGCACCTCCATGGGCCTCTTGGTGAGGAAAGCCTCTCTCTGTAACCAGACACATTTCTAGGAGATCAGGAAAAGGACCCCTGTGTTGGGTTAAAAGCCTTAAGTTTTCTTTTTAAAAAAATCTACATTACATACTGCTCACTGAATGAGCACTCACGTTACCTCCTGGTGCCAATAACATCTATAAAACATTCAAGATACTAAAGGGTTCCCAGACCTAAGT